TTTGTGCACATAGAGAGTGCACAGGTTTCCAGCAACATTAGACTGCCTGCTCTCGGTTATAGTACCCCAGCAATTTAGGAAAGAAACTATAAGCTAGTGTGTAAAGCCGTCATACCCAGATTGTGAGCCACCAAGCCAAACAGCCTTGCATCCATGAATTGTGATTTTGCTGTGTATTGATAGGTTTTTTTTGTTGCTCCAGTTTGCTGCTCTTTTATTGGGTCTGTTCTGTGGCTATTGTATGGCTTTTTCTGCAAAGCATTCTTCTGATTTTATGTTCTGCATGTTCTGCTCTTCAAACTTTGTAAGTTTATCAGAGAATACTTAGGCAGCGAGTGCCTAATAAATGGAATTAATATAATTAATTGCCTTCCGCCACCACTGTGTGGCTGAGGGCCAAACAAGATAAGACACCATTCGTGCAATTAGCATGAATGATTGTATTGTGTGGCTGGCTGTTAAAAAAACATCAAAGTCTAGATCAGAAACGGGAGGGAGCAGTAGTCTTAAATCTTTTGCCTTCCGTAGGGGTCCTAATCTCTCTCTGCCCCCTATGCCTCTTTGCACTGGAAGACAAGTTCCACTAGCATAAATAGGATAAAAGGTAAAGGTACCCCTGCCCGTACGGGCCAGTCTTGACAGACTCTGGGGTTGTGCGCCCATCTCACTTAAGAGGCCGGGGGCCAGCGCTGTCCAGAGACACTTCCGGGTCACGTGGCCAGCGTGACAAAGCCGCATCTGGCGAGCCAGGGCAGCACACGGAAACGCCGTTTACCTTCCCGCCAGTAAGCGGTCCCTATTTATCTACTTGCACCCGGAGGTGCTTTCGAACTGCTAGGTTGGCAGGCGCTGGGACCGAGCAACGGGAGCGCACCCCGCCGCGGGGATTCGAACCGCCGACCTTTCGATCGGCAAGCCCTAGGCGCTGAGGCTTTTACCCACAGCGCCACTGTGGAGGATACTTTCTCCCAATGCAAATACAGTCGTACCTCGGAAGTCGAACGAAATCCGTTCCGGAAGTCCGTTCGACTTCCAAAATGTTCGGAAACCAAGGTGCGGCTTCCAACTGGCTGCAGGAGCCATGGAAGTCTGGTCGGACGTTCGGGTTCCAAAGAACGTTCGCAAACCAGAACACTAATTTCCAGGTTTGCAGCATTCGGGAGCTAAAACGTTTCGACTCACAAGGCATTCATGATCCAAGGTACAACTGTAGCAGGTGTGGGGAGTGGTCTGGATCAGAGCAGAGCAAAAGAGTTAAAAGTGCACACCACCCGTGTCCTGATGCATACTAGACTCCCCATGCCTGCTCTTAATTTTTTTTTAAGCCATTAGCACAATTACTAATTGCAATGGTCTTGCCTTATTTTGCCTCAGATTCTCAACTTAAACCAAGTCTGGCAGGTTAGTGAGCACAGTTTCAAAAAACAGCTAAAGAGGTGTCCTGCTAAAAACTCACATTGGATTTGGTTCTTGCAACTAAGCCATCTGAGTTGTTGTATTAGCAGCTAGCAAGCACCAACTGAGCAGCTTTATAACCATCCTTATTGCCCTAGTCCTTCCTCAAGGGAGAGAAACTTTGAGCTGCCAGATGTCCACTGACCCTTCTGGTCTGGGCCTTGACCTGAAACCAATGCCACTTCTGTTACTGAGGATGACTTGGGAAGCCTTTAAAGCTGGTTGATGGGGCCACTTGGGATGAACTGGGGTCCCCAAATCTGTAGGGGTGATAATGGGGTTCTCCTTATCTGAGGTCTCAATTCTGGTGCACTGTAGCACATCCGTTGCATGAAAAACTTGTCTGGAATGGTCCCAAATTGTTGTTGTTTTGTCAGCAACAAGAATTATGCCTTTATCTGAGTTGGAACATTGGTCCATTCAGCTCAGTGCTGTCTACCCTACCTGGGTGATACTGAGCTAAGGTTTACTCAGACTAGACGCACTGAAATTAATGAAACATAACTTAGGTCCAGTAATTTCCATAGGTCAACTAAGTTTTGCTCAGAATAGAATACCATCTACTGGGTATTGAACCTAGGGCATTCTTCACAGAAAGCTCATGCTCCATCACTGAGCTACAGCCCTTCCACTAAAAGATTTTGTTTTTAAGATCTGTCTCGTCATTTATCATTGCTGATCTTAGGGCAGTTTATATCATAAAAAAAGACTAGAGCAATTAAAAGTAATTAAAAATTCAAAGGATAAAGATTGTGTAGACTTGTCTCACATAAAAGCCTGGGGGAACATATACATTTTAAGTTGGCACCACAATGAATATACTGTTGATGCTGACTTTTATCTCCAAAGAGAAGGTATTCCACAAATGGAGGGACCCCACTAAGTAGTCCCGTATGTGCATTCCTGCTAACCATACCATTTCTGGTAGCAGAACATTTAGAAGAACCCCTTCTGAAGATCTTAATACCCAACAAGTTGGTGTCAGGATGGTGCTCCTTCAAGGTTGTGGGTCCCAAGTTCTTTGCTTCTCTGCCTTTGGTCTAATCTGTCAAGCCCAAGAACTGCAAATGAAGCCTCCGCAGCTGCATTTTCATGGAGGTTGGCAGATAAAATAGAGTAATAGAATCAAGATTTACACAGAGAAGAACCACAGGCAATAAAAATGTAAGGGAATTTATAACACTGTGCAACCAAGGTTATCTGAAAGAACACTCAATTTACTGCAGTATGTAGAGCTGAAATTGATGTGATCCTATCAGTAGCTTACATCAGAACTCTTCTGAGACTGACTCTTAAATGCCGTTCGCCCTCTCCAGTTCTGCTAAGAATGGACTCATCTGCATTGTTTTGAAGCCATTTGCTCCACTCTTCTTTAATAAATAGACAGGTGTTCAGGGAATGATTTTAATGATTTACTATAAAGTGGATATATAATGAGCTGTGAAGGTTTTTACTCAAAAGACAAAAGAGGAGACAAATTAAAAAAGAGAAGGAAAGTAGGAATTGGATACCATAGCAGGGCCATTCCCATGCCAAATGGCTCCCCAAGTGAGGCGCATCTTTGGTGAACATGCATGCACACACATCTTCCATCTGTTCAACTCTCAAATCCCTTGATTTTCTTATATCGCCATGCATGATTTATCCCGTTAACACAGTACACAATTAATTTGCTTCCAAGGATCTGATCACAGTCATCTTGCCATTTGTTGATTGGACACTGGTGTTGTACATATTTTTTTTAATCAATGCAAGCCGCGCAGATCATTGTACCAATTGTATGACTATTTATACTATTTGTTTCAGCAGTTGAGTGGATAATTACAAAGCCAGTAACAGGCCTGGGGTCTAGCTTGCTTGGAGGCAAGATAACAATCACATGAGCCAAAGGTAGGAGGCACTCTAATGACCTGGCTGGAGTCAACAGCGCCAACCAGAGGCTTGTGGGAAACCAGCAAGCGGGCCCCAAGCAAAGAGAACTCCTCTGCCTTGTGGTTTTCACCAACTGGTATTCAAAAAAATTATTGTCTCTGGCTATGGAGACAGAACATAGCCATCATAAAGGTAAAGGTACCCCTGACCGTTAGGTCCAGTCGCAGACGACTCTAGGATTGCGCTATAGGCCGAGGGAGCTGGCGTTAGTCCACAGACAGCTTCTGGGTCATGTGGCCAGCATGACTAAGCCACTTCTGGCGAACCAGAGCAGTGGATGGAAACGCCGTTTACCTTCTCGCTGGAGTGGTACCTATTTATCTACTTGCACTTGACGTGCTTTCGAACTGCTAGATTAGCAGGAGCAGGGACCGAACAACGGGAGCTCACCCTGTCATGGAGATTCGAACTGCCGACCTTCCGATTGGCAAGCCCTAGGCTCTGTGGTTTAGACCAGAGCGCCACCCGCGTCCCTATAACCATCATAGCTAGTAGCTTTTAGTAGACTTCTCCATGAATTTGCCCAATTCTATTTTAAAGCCATCCAAGTTGGTGGCCACCACTGCTTCTTGTGGGAGCAAGTTCCATAGTTTAACTATGCTCTGTGTGGGGAAAATGACTTTCTTTTATCCGTCATGAATCTTTTCACATACAAGTTTATTGGAGGTCAATGACTTCTAGAGTTACGGCTCGTCACATGGGGCAGTGGTCAGCAGTTTCTGACAGCACATAAGCTGGCTTTCACATCCAAACCAACTCACACTCCCTTGCTTTAATGAGATGCACATTCAAATATATAGTCCAACACACTGTCTAAGGCAATTCATATTGTGCAATGTGCAGCTAGACCTGGATTTGGGCATTTACATTCATTAAAACCATACTATTAAGCTTAGGATAATATGTCTACCATACAAATGAGAAATTTGATGCCATTGCTTCCTTTTCTGCTAAACTAGGCATTTATAAGGTGCATAGACAAGGCGACAGAGAAATGAAATCACGGTCTACAAATTGGGTATAAATTATTTACCGTAGCTGAAGTTTGAAAGATATCTGAAGCTATTTATAGTATTGTCAAGACCCTTACCTTTAGATTACTATTGCAATATAGCGGTTATTTTATGCACGCTTTTGCAGAGATCTAGTGGCAAATTCTTTCGCTCTCTTAGAAATTGTGTGCTGAGGCATCTTTTAATCCGTCAGAAGAGAAATGGTGCTTGGAGAGACTTGTTTGCATGTCTTGAAGATCATTCATCTCTTCTGGGTTTTCTCACAGACAGAAGAGCTGCTGGCATCTTGAGGAAGAAGCTTCTTAATTAGGTCAGAGCAGTGGCAGCTAACCTGTGGCCCTCTGGCTCCTTCTGAGCTCCAGCTCCCATGAGTCACAGCCAGAATGACCCATAGTCTGGAATGGCAGGAGTTCTAGTCCAAGAACTGCTGGAGGGCCAAAGGTTAGCCACCCCAGTGTTAAAGGAACCAACAAGAAATAAAGAGTGATAAATGAGAATATCAAAGCAGAGTATTATCAGTAGCAATGTTGGCACATATTTATGGAATCACCAGATTGTTTTAACCTCATTTCATTTTATCCCACCCTCCATGTTTTTCAGGGTCAATTTCTGAGGCTCCAAAATTGGAGTGGATTCCAAACAGACTTTTGCCAGCGCAATGGGGCTTCATATCCTCCTCCACCCCCTTGGCAGTTCTCTGTATGCCCCCAAAATATGCTTCAGAAAGACCCTGGTAAAAATCGCACTGTGCAATCAGAAGTCCTTTCCACTCACACATGGACAGTGTTGGATACAATGATATAGTTATGGAAGACCTAACCACACAAAAAACCTAAACTGGTACAAAACAGTTCTGAGTTCGGCAAAAGGCTAGTTGATGGGTTGGTTTCAAGAGACACCAAAGTCTGCAGTGTCCAGATTTCTGTACTTGGGAGATTACTAGCAGCACTTAAGTAGAAAGTATACATTTAAAATATTACATGCCAAGCTTTCTGTTACCACTTGCCTCTAAGAAGAATCAAAACATGAAGTTGACGTTATTCGCTTGCTCAACATTCTAGCATTGCATCAAATAAGAAATGAACTTTTAAGTACTATAGTCTAATTTTTCCTCTCTCCCTTTTCTTTCTTACAGCAACAAAGGATAACACCATCCAGATTTATTCGGACCTAAGAAGTGAAGGATAACAGCCATCACTGGGTAGCTCAATATGCCAGCTTTCTTCTGGAAGATTGCCTTTGAATGTTAGGTCTCCTCCATTTATTTTACAACACGCACAAATAAAATGTCGGAACTCCACCCTACCTCTGGATTAATATCAAATATGGAAAATGGGACTTTTCTGGAGCTGTATCCCACCTCTCTCTCGACATCCATGGATTCATCTTCTGGACACATGTCTAACGTCTATGTCTATGTCTCAATATTCCTCAGCCTCTTGGCATTTCTTCTTTTGCTATTAATCATTGCACTTCAGAGGCTGAAGAACATAATCTCTTCCAGTTCTTCCTATCCAGAATACACCAGCGATGCTGGGAGTTCCTTCACTAACCTAGAAGTCTGTAGTATTTCTTCCCAGCGGTCTGCTTTTTCAAATCTTTCCTCCTGAGAAGGAATGAAAGAGAATACATTGGGGGATGGAACAACTTTGTCTAACTCTTGGGGGGAAGTTATGCATGCAGTATTTTCTTTGGAGGACTAATAGTCATAAAAGAGGTGACTTTTAATTTTCACTTTGGTTTTTCTTTCCCTTTTTAGTCTGCATTTCCCCTCTTTATTAATGACATTTTTCATCTCTGAGCAGTGAAATTGATGAAGGTCTCCTGCCTGATCATGCCTCCTGCCTGTAATAGTGTTGTAGCATTTCCCCAACCCATTTAAACTGGGTCTTCAAACTTAACAATGGGAAGATTCTGCTTCCTGGGCTTTGTCACCTATGGTTTCATCGACTCAAAGCTTCAGGACTTTAACTTCCTCAGAAACACCATGATATCATACAGGATATCACTAGATCTCTGAAAGTTATTTATCTCACCATTGAAAGAATCTGTTGTGCCGTAGTTCTAGAATTTAGAGCAACTTTAAGGCAACAAAGCTCAATTTAATTTAACAATTTAATTCAAAATTTTGTCGCTGAGGTCTCTTGTATGTTTTCCTGTATACAGTCGCCGTGTTGTCTGATGGGCTTGTTTTATTTTAGCCAAATGATTATAATAAATATGTGGGCTCATTCCATTTCACACTAAAACCGCATTTGGTAGACTTGCAGATTTGCATGAGGACTTTGAATTGGAAGAATTGGGCTGTGTCCAAAGTAGATCTAAGTAAGAACTGTGCGAGCGGGAACCAGACAGTGGCGATTTCCCACTCTCAGGTTGCTTAGATGGAGTACACCATGCCCCCTGGCCGACCAGATTGGTCAGCCTAGGGTGTGACGTGTCAGGGACTCCCTATGTTGCGGGGGCTAGCCATATCCCCGCAAAAGGGGCGGGTTTGCGTCCCGCTCGCAACTCCATTTCCCCGGCGAAGGGAAATGGCTTTATCATCACAAGGATTTTGCCTACTTCACCTCACCCAAGCACCCCCTAAATCTGTTCTGGGGGGTCTCCCAAGCCTCCAGCGCAGATTTGGGTAGGGTGCAGGGCACAGACAGGGGGACCAACCTGTGCTTTGAAGGCCTTGGTGAGCTCAACACCTTTGAGGTCATTGGTTCCATTGTTCAACTGCTGTTATCATTAAAAAGTGTCTTCAAATGCCCAGTCCAAATCTACCCTCTTTTAAATTAAGCCTGTTAGCTCTAACCTTGCTATGTGGCAGCCCTTCAGAGAAATAAAAAGTGTTATCATGTCTCCGTTCCTTTAAATGTTCCTCATTGGACTTGTTTTCCATATCTCTGATCATCTTCATTACCTTTCTCTGAACTTCTTTCCAGTTTGTCTGTGTGCCTCTCAAAGTGTGGTGCCCAAAAGTGAACACAGTGTTCCATCTGAAGATGGCCTAGCACAGAATAAAGTGGAACTATTACTTACTGTGACAAACTATTCTAAGAGTTCCCTGGGGAGAGGAGTTGATTGTTAAGGCACTTTGGAAACTGGGAGAAGAACAGGGGTCGCCTAACAATTCTCAGAACCCTTAACAAACTACAGCTTTCAGAATCCTTTGGGGGAAGCCACAACTGTTTAAAGCACTATGGTGTGACACTGGATTCTAGTAACCTAAAATGTAATTCATCTGATACTGAAGACTTGGACTCATTTAAAATAGCTAGATATTTCCTTATCTACTGCCTCCAAACAGCCTTCCCCTTTCCCACAAAACCCAACTGCTGCTAAAATCATTTGAACTAAGATACCAGGTTGGTCAAGGTCTCTCTTCTGTTGCTGGGGATATCCTGAATATTATGTTGCCCAAAAGTGGAACTGTTTAAATGAGATTGGCTTACTCCATTAGCACTCTGCTATTTGTCCTCTAAAGTCAGAGTGGGGAACTTGTGACCCATCTGACTCCCATCAGCTCCAGCCAACATGGCCAATGATCAACAATGGCGGGTATTGTAGTCCTGCAAAAATGTGTGAGGGGGGTGGCAACTGTTCTTCACCTTGCCCTAGATCATGGTGGAATTGGCTGGTGTTAGAGACAAGGGAAACTTGTTCTGACAGCCTCAGCAGCCCCACCAGCAGTAGGAAAGTCCAAATTTGGGGTTTGCGTTCTTTCACATCTTATACCCTGTAATAATAAGTAAACAACATGTTGACGAAATTTGCTACTTGTTATGAACTGAAAATACTTTCCTAACAACAACAACAAAAGATTAAGGATTATTTCAGATAAAAAAGATGCTGGATAGAAATAAGATGCAAGAAAAGGCAACGGGCAATGCCTGGAGATAGGGATCAAACCCATCAAACTATCTCTTTCTCATATTTTTCAATCATCTTTGTGTGCGGTGGTGGCTTCAGGAAACACCATCATTCCATATACATGTTAAATAGCACTAGGGAGAGGACAGTATCCAGTGGAACCCTGTAGCACAAATGCCAAGGGGCTGAGGAGCACTCATCTTGTGTTACTCTCTGAACATGGCCCTGCAGGTAAGAATGGAACCAGCCTAATACATTGCCTCTAGTACTAATCCCATGGAGCCAGTCTAGGATGATACCATGGTATCAAAAGCCACAGCAATCAAGCAGAAGTAGCAGGTTACACTTCTCCTGTGTCTCTCACAATAAAGGTCACCCATTGGGGTGAACAAAGCCGTTTCAATTCCAAAACTGAATTCTAAATTCAGATTGTAGTTTATCCATGCCATCCAGGAATACCTCCCATTGCACATATTCTCAAAAGCGCCATTGATGGCAACATCACGGTGTCCTAAGAATTTGCGCCAAAATCTTTGCACAATTTACAAGACCACTACATATGAATAAACATTCATGTTTCCCTGCCACCGTTTCAGCTGTGTGGGCTGAGACTGATACCCACCCAAGATAACTTCACAGAAGGGAGATACCAATGATGTGTAAGCTTTAGTGAGGGTTCAAGGATTCGGCTTTCTGTGTATATCCATGTGTCAGTAAACACTGCTGTTCACAGAACACTTAATTTTCAATGGTGACTGTAGGGCCTTGGAACCAGTAGGGTGAAAAGCAGAAAAGTCCACTGGAGATGGAGCCAGGGACAGGAAGAGCCAACCTATGCCCTCATTCTCCTCTGTGGTGTATTCTCCACCGTGGTGCAGTGGTTAAGAGCGGTAGTCTCGTAATCTGGTGAACCGGGTTCATGACCCCGCTCCTCCACATGCAGCTGCTGGGTGACCTTGGGCTAGTCACACTTCTCACTCACCTCACAGAGTGTTTGTTGTGGGGAAGGAAGGGAAAGGACAATGTTAGCCACTTTGAGACTCCTTCGGGTAGTGATAAAGTGGAATATCAAATCCAAACTCCTTCTTCCCATTGAGTTCTACAAGGACAACACGGAGGGCTCATCCACACTTAACCTCTGCTCCACATTTCTAGGGACAGGTCAGGGCTTTCCAGGCCAGTGACTTGAGTGGTGTTTTCTGCTGAATTGGAGCAAATGGCAATCAGGTTTTGTGCAGAGTGCCATTGGCTCTGATTCACAGGTAAAATGCAGGTTTTCCTGGGGAAAGTCCTAGGACAGGAAGGGGGTGGGAAGCCTGGGACAGGAAAAATAAGCTTGCTTAGACACAGACCTGGAAAGTCCAGACTTGTGCCTGGAAAGCATAGAGCAAGGGTGAGTGTGGATAAGCCCTGAGACTAAAGAGTAGGAAGCCAACAGGCAGTGCCACCCCCACCCCCACCCCCCGGACTTCTTGTACGTAAGTAAAAAGACAGGCTGAGAGGGGCTGGCCCTATTCATCCCAGTAGATCAGCTGCCACTGCTTACTTTCCAATGCAACGAAAGCGAAATCCTAAGCGTAGCCGCAGATAGACATGAGCACGTCTCACACAGGCTGGAATTTCACTGCTTGCAACCTTTTCAACGCTTCTCACTCAAGCACCAGATGGTTATATAACTAGGTCCCTAGATCCATGCCCCTTCCTGTTGGTTCTGGGACACTTGGCAAAGGTGACCCTCTTCCTGGCAGGTGTTTGCGGTGGCCTGACTGTCACCTTCTGACTGCACACTGCTGCTTGCTGCTTTGTCATCGTGCTCCCCATTTGCTGTTCTTGTGTTTGACAATTACGTTCTTGCTTGTTTCAAAATCCCGTAAGACTGGTTGTGCATGAAAGCACCCAAAGCAAATGTATTCAGGGGAGGCCACATGGTGAATATTCTACCAGGACCTCCAGACTTTGAGCAGAAGGTAAACAGAATGCGAACATTTTCATTTCTGTTACAAACACCATGATTTCCCACATGCATCGCTTCTCATTGATATTCAGCAGAACTGAGATATCACTCAGCTGTACAAAGCCAAACGAGGCTGCGTCAAGAAACCAAACACCTCTGTTGCTGAAATATGGCAGTGCTCCCTGCTGTGAAAAGCTGCTGAGAGGTTGGGGTTGCAGAGCTGGCTGCAACACCCGACCGACAGGGACTTGGCCTTCCAGAAAGTGGCTTCCTTGGGGAAGCATCAGAGGGCCCAACCCACTGTGCTGCCATTTCCAACCATCAAAGGAAATGAAAGCCGTGTGTGTGTGTGTGTGTGTGGCTGCAACTGTGATATTTTCATTTTGGGGAGCCAGGAAGTAAACTGCAGTTTGAACAGGACGGAGCATAAGCACAGCAGGTCTGGCTTACCACCTTGGGAAGTAATTGAAATAATCCACAATCTGATTATTTTTTTTAAAAAAAAGGTATCCAGAGTCTAAAGTTACCTAAATGCAAACATACCTCTGTTTGTGAAAGGAAAACAAGGAGGGTCCCTGAGACTGAGTGCTACAGTCAAACCGATTCATAAAATTCAGTCCACGGTAATATCTGGCACGTTAATACTTAAGCAATCTACAACCATGAGACACTGCACCCGTTTCCCTGCCATCTGCTGAGAACAGAGCTAAGAAAAAACATGTCAGTGGTTTCTGTAAAAATATCTACTTCTGTAATCTGATGGTAAAGGTCTGCATAATTCCAATCTTGAGACTAAACTCCTAGAAGAACTGCTAAGCAATCACTTCAGATGCAATTTTTGCTTAGCTGAAGCTAAAGCCCATGAATTTCAATAGGGAGCATACAAAAAAGGATAAATATAAAGATGTGGGGGGCCCCTACCCCCCTGGCATTGTCATTTCCCTGTCCTAGAATGAAGTCATCTTGGTGTGAACAACTGCAAAGTAATCTGGAATAAGCTTTGTCGTTTAAGTGAATGCTTAGAGGTGATGTGGCATTATCTCGCATAAAAAGTATAGTAATGACATATATGCTCCTTTTATTAAACCTGTGTTTTTATCCAGTAGTGACGTAGGGACCACAATGAGTGCACTGAGGTTTTATTATTTGTTTTTAGATCTAGGCTTTGCCCTATTCTAGCAGTGTGATCAGCTAATGTTTAGATTATGGAATGAATAGTCTTTCAGGGAATATGCAATATGTATTACTTCACTTTCTCTGAAATGTGGTAAGTCAGTCCTGATGTATGCATGGGTGCTTTTAAAATGCCACACATCCCTGACTCACTCAGGTCCATGGTGTAGCAGCATTTGTACAGCAGACTTCAGAAAGCACAGCTGTCTGTCTGTCTGTCTGTGGTGAGAGGAAGAATCGGGGATCAGAAAAGTGCTTGAGAAGGGAGAGCTATGAAGGCGCAACATGACCTGACTGACAACCGCCAGATCTGCACCTACAACAGCTCTAACCATGACCTCTCAGACAGGGGAGATTGTCCTGTAACTTCAAGAATCTCCAGAATGCGGCAGCTAGACTGGACTGGGAGCGGCCACCGAGACCACATAACACTGGTCTTGAAAGACCTACATTGGCTCCCAGTACGTTTCCGAGCACAATTCAAAGTGTTGGTGCTGACCTTTAAAGCCCTAAACGGCCTTGGTCCAGTATGTCTGAAGGAGCATCTCCACCCCCATCGTTCTACCCGGACACTGAGGCCCAGTGACAAGGGCCTTCTGGCGGTTCCCTCAGTGCGAGAAGCCAAGTTACAGGGAACCAGGCAGAGGGCCTTCTCGGTAGTGGCACCCACCCTGTGGAACACCCTCCCACCAGATCTCAAAGAGAACAACAACTACCAGACTTTTAGAAGACATCTGAAGGCAGCCCTGTTTAGGGAAGCTTTTAACATCTGATGCATTACTGTATTTTAATATTTTGTTGGAAGCCACCCAGAGTGGCTGGGGAGGCCCGGCCAGATGGGTGGGGTATAAATAATAAGTAG